TAGTTGACAGGGTGTGGTCTATCCATCCATACAGTTCATCTCATGAGTACTGATGGTTGTGGTGTAGTTGACAGGGTGTGGTCCATTCATCCATACAGTTCATCTCATGAGTACTGATGGTTGTAGTGTAGTTAACAGGGTGTGGTCCATCCATCCATACAGTTCATCACATGAGTACTGATGGTTGTAGTGTTGTTGACAGGGTGTGGTCCATCCATCCATACCGTTCATCTCATGAGTACTGATGGTTGTAGTGTAGTTGACAGGGTGTGGTCCATCCATCCATACAGTTCATCTCATGAGTACTGATGCTTGCAGTGTAGTTGACAGGGTGTGGTCTATCCATCCATACAGTTCATTACATGATTACTGATGGTTGTAGTGTAGTTGACAGGGTGTGGTCTATCCATCCATACAGTTCATCTTATGATTACTGATGGTTGTAGTGTAGTTGACAGGGTGTGGTCCATCCACGCAATTCATCTATTGATTGGGTTTCCCGTGATGTTGTCTGGTGCTTATGGTGGTGGACATCCATATAGTTCATCTGTCATCGAGATATATCCATTCCATTCCAAGACAACGATGCTGATATATCTTGTTTTTAATGGTAATGGTAAGCTGTTGGTGACCACAATATACTTTATATAATTTCCTTTACTTGGAATTCATTTTAAAAATGTTAAAGAAAGAAGCTGGATTTCGTGAGTCATATGTAGTGCAGACAATGTCGTAAACGAGATTGATCAGTTTGCTGTCCAACACATCTGACTGCATTTTTCCGTTGCTCACTTATGTTTATTTTATATATATATATATATATATGCATATATAGCGGATTGCAAAAAATTATGCAAAACTCATATATAAATATATCAATATATGAACTATTTCCAAATTCTACAGCTGTGATTTTCAACAAAAAGTCAGCCGAATATCAAGTGTTAGTGCTCACACTGTACACTATGTTTTTATTTTAACGTAACATTGTATTAAGAGCGAATGTCTGTAGGAATCAAACATACGGCGACAAAGCTCAATTTTTCGAATTTGCTCTACTTTAGGATTTAAGTAGTGCATGATGCAGAATGAAACGCTGTTTGGTTAGTTTTTAAAAATACTTTTTTTGCTTTCGAGAAAAAGTGAAAAGAAAATTTGAGCTCCAGAGCCGATTCTGGCTATCAAAATATGGTTAAAAATTACTTGCGTTCGCTTGGTCCGCGTAGCAAAACTTCAAATAGCCTTATAATACTTTCTGTTCAAAGTAAAGCTCTTTTTCTCTCATTTACAGTATTATTATTTTAAATCGGACAATTAAAAACATTTTAGGACAATAAAAAGCAAGGTCAGCGAGTTACAATGCTCGTGAGTACATCTCAAAAACTGCGAGTTTCATCATGTGCATCTCTCTTAAATAAAATCTTATAAAATTATGGATACCGGTGTTTGCATTGCTACGCGGCCACCCCAGACAAAAATCGCGACGTGCACTTTGCAATAGACTGCCGTCAATCAAACACGTTGACGCCATTTACACGCGTGTGTGATTCAAAAGGCGCCAAAACTTGTCGATTGTTTACAAGTATTATGAGCCACACTCACCGGGCCTATCCGGGCCCATCCAAACGTGTGTAAATGACTTCAACGTCTTTGATWGACGGCAGTCTATTGCAAAGTTTGCACGTATTGCACGTCGCGAWTTTTGTCTGGGGTGGCCGCGTAGCAATGCAAACGCCGGTAATAGCTATTGGGAATCTGCTCTTTTGAATTGTCTTATTTTAAAAAAACAAAATGTCTCTGTGAAGTTATTTTAAATAAAAAATCTTGTTTGCAACGGGTGAGGAAAACCTGACCTAGAATGAGGTGCAAAGTGTGTCAGGTGCAAAGTCTGACAAAAGATCAGCGTACAGTTTTATATCGGTACAGCAAACGATGCGAAGTTCGACAGAGCTCTACGTATTATATGCAACACTTGTACGACTCACTGATTTAGACCCCACTCTTGTAATTTACATTCATGTGCCAAACCCAATTAATGAATTATGATGACTTTAGATCACCCTTTCCTTTCATGTCTGTATAGAACGCGGTAAGTACGTTGCCTGTTGTACCAAAGTCGAGTGGAGTGGAGCGGCGTATAGAATGGGTTATGCATTCACTCCTCGTCTTGAAGAACAAGACTTTTTTAAGAATTTGTTGCATGTAATAGTATCTCAATCTACGACAGGGGCGTAGCGAGGACGTAGGAGCTGGGGGACACTGATCCAAAATAAATAAAAATTTCAAATTCCCACGTACAGATTCCAGGCTCTGACCGGGCTCGCAATGCACAGGTAGCCCGTCCGGATAACTTCGTATAAATTCGCACTTTTGTAGGTTGTAATAACTTATTTTCCTTTTTCGTTTCGGTTTAATATGTTTTTTTGTTGTTATCCTTTATTCAAATTTTTTTTTTCAAACATTTTTGGGGGGCACGTGCCCCCCCCCCCCCCCCCCCCCCCCCCCCCCCCCCCCCCCCCCCCCCCCCTACACTACTGATCTACGAGAACGTCAAAAAGTCAAGAATCCACGGCCACAAATAAAATATAGTGATAATAATTTGTTAGGAGTATGATGATACACATCTCAACTTCATAACCGTCAGAGACTGTAAATGTCACTTGTCACTTGTCAACGGGAAAACGTTACCTGATCTTACACGTTATCTTATATTTAGATTTGAGGATATGAGCAGCAGAAAATATATCATTTGTCTTCTGAACGTAAAAAAGGCAATTCTTGTCATTTTAATGAGATTTTAAAAATGCCATCATTATGCTCAGTTTCAGCAATCCTTAACATTTGGTTGTGACGTCATCACCCATGAGAAAGAATGGTGCCCAGTACTTTGGTTTGCTGTAGCTGAAAGAGTTCCTCATTTCTTTCAGCGCTTGCTGTAAACTTGCAATCGCGCTTTTTCCGTCCATTACTTATGCTCTGGCAAACTTTGGGAAACCTCATAATCACCGCTCGAGCAGTGATTATCGTCTCAGAATCACTGGTCGCTCAACCAATCACAGCGCGCGAAACTCTATATTTAAGTCTATTATACTAAAGTATTTTTATAATAACTAATGTTATTTAATAAATCGGCCTACTTAGTTCCTATTTACCACCTGTACTATTAGAGAACTCGGTTCGTAGTATCATGCATATATGGTTGAAGTGCTATACGAAAAAAAAAAAAAAACTTTATGTACGTTGGTCGACTGAATAATGTTACTTAATATTACTAGAAGTGTGTCTTCCTGATTTATTTACATATTTGCTCTTGAAAAACATTGTCTCTCAATACAACTGACTGAAGTTAGTTCTGACAATAAATGACCTGCATAATCAGAAGGACAACCTATGCACCAAGAGTATGCATCACTCACGTGATGGCAAAGTCACATGAACAGTATGAGAAAGAATGGTGCCCAGTACTTTGGTTTGCTGTAGCCGGAAGTGTTTCTCATTCCATTCATCGCTTGATGTAAACTAGCACTCGCACTCTTTACATCTTTTAAACTAAGATAGAATTTTTCCATGAACTCGAATGTTGCATCGTCATCGATGGCCCACAGAGACGCTACCACTGCACGAGCACCTGACGCTAGAAAGGCTCGACACATGCCAACTACTCCTTCAGCTCTGATTTCACCACGTCCACTGTGACAGCAGCTTAACACAACTAACTGTGCACGTACTTGAGCCTGCTGTACATCAGCCATGGTCAGCATGTAATCTTCTTCATCTGGGATCTTTTTTGCTCTTACCTCAGGAGAAGGTGCAAGTACGATGGTAGCTTTTGATAGGATACCATGTGCAGCAATGTGAACAACAGATACCCCCTTTTGTAGTTTCTCTAGGACAACCACCTTTGTGGCTGCTTCGCCTATTAGTGGCTTAACACCAAGTTTATTAGCTATTACGATTGCTTCTGCTTGTGCACCTGGCAAACGTCCAATATCCAGTTCTKCTCCATTCATCATAACTTTCCCAACTAAAGGATCACCAATAATCAAAGKCTTGGCATCGCTGAATCGGTCTGTTGGGAAGTCTTCAAGATGCTTTAAGGTTGCCAGTGAAGGAGCAAGTCTAATGCGCTTTGTCTCTGACAAATACTTTCCCGTGCGAGGATCTTGTAAGGCGGGAAAAGGCACTTCATATAAGGGACCATCTGGAATAATAACAACCTCGTCTTGCTTCATCGATAGTATTCTATCACATTCTAAGATATCAAATATATCTTCTAAAGTAGATCCCTTGGTTTCAGCACTATTCTCATTAGATTCTCCTCTGTTAGAACTGAGGTTAAGCAGTGATGCTGTTGGTTGTTTAAATTCCTCGTTTTTTTCCTCGTTTTTTTCTGGTTCTTTTTGAATACCTTCTTCTTTGTCCAAGCACCTATCCTCACAGTCAACCACATCACGAACACCCATTTCGTCAAACATCCTATCGACGTATATCTGTAGGGAATGATTAGGACAACTTGAATAATGCGAATTTGTCTCCCCTCCAATAAAAAACTTCAGAAAAGCATCAAAACAAAGTGAGTAAAAGGCAATGCTGAAGTCATTTCTTGAGACCAGAGACAAAGCATCGCTGTACTCTACGTGTTCATCATTGCTCTCCTTTTGTTCCATCTTGAAGTTTGAHATCATAAGATCTTTCAATGCTCTTGCACGACAACGATCTAGCACTAAAAGCGCTTCCGTGATCTGTTTGCCGTTGATTAACAGTATTGCCAATAGTTTATAACTATGAATATATTGGTCAAAAATTGAGATCTTAAATTCATCACGACTACCAAGTGTCGTAAAGATCGCTTCAAAGCATCGTATAGCTTCTCTTAGATAATGTTCTGCCAAGTTCAGTTCTTCTTTAARCAAAAACAATAATTTACCAATACTATAATAGAATCTGGATCGAACCATATTATGAGAACAAGACTTGGCAATAGGTAGCCCTTCTTTGAAACAGCGTAAAGCCATGTCATTCTGACCCATCAACTGATACAAGTTTCCGATTTCTGTGAGACAGAACAAGTTCACAGAACGATCCAAGTCCATCTCCTTTAACTGTTCAAGGCAATTGATTGTTTTTTGATAATCTTTTTTGGAAAGATAAAAATTGTATAGCCTGATGGAAGCCTTGTGTTTCTTCGTTTTATTTCTTGTCTCCACCGCTTGATYACGATCCTGTARGAGCTCATTTTCAGAASATGTTGGTAMYTCTAATAATTCCTTTACTGAGGGTAAATCGCAAGCATTCGCTTTCTCACGCAAACCCACACTTGCATAAAGACTAGAACGAATTACTTTGAAGTTTGCTTCAGCCTCTTTGTCTCCAAGCCCTGTAGCAATCGCTATTCCTGCATCTATACTCAAAGACACTTCATKCAACTGCRACGAGCCCATATATGCTTGAGCGAGAAGAAAATGTCCGTCCATCTCAGTTTTTCTGTCTTCAGTAGCTTGAGAGATGTCTAGGCATTTCTTACCGTATTGGATAGCATTATCGATGCTATTCTCATCATCTGATGTCAGRTATAAAAGCAAAAGACTTAGACATGCTTGTGCTTCAATCATTTTCTCGCCAGTTTCKTGTGCCATTTCGATACATTTCTTATTGTATCGCACTGAATCATTGTGCTGTTCCAGGGTCTGAAATATCTTTCCTAGATACAAACACGCTCTTACCCCCGCATTCTTTTCGCAGCCAATACAGTTCACGATATCGATGCATTGCTTGAAATTCTGAATGGCTTCTTCGTATTTCTCCAAAGACTGTTTGACCATTCCCAAAGACAGATACGCAATAGCGTCAGCAGCTTTTTCTTGATTATCTTCTTTGTCATTGTGAAGACACTTATTGCAGCTGAAAATGGCATCATCGTATTTTCCCAAAGAATAATATACCCTTCCAAGTAAGCTATAAGCATGAGGCTCTGCGTATTTATCGCCAATAGTTACTGCGAGCTCAATACACTTCTTGCAATAGATAATTGCATTGTCGTATTCGGAAAGAACGTTATATATTCGCCCCATCAGTAGGTAAGCCCAGACTTCACCACATCTGTCTTCTATTTCCCTTGCTATGTCAATGCATTTCTGTCCAAAGTTAATGGCGTCTTGATAGTGATTCAAGGCAAGATGTGCTCTTCCTAGCTCTAAATATGCAGTCTTCATAGTCTCACGATCGTTGTTTTTCATGGMGTAATCAAGGAGCTTGTGGGCATAATGAATAGTGTCATCATATTTCTGCATTAATTTATATGCAACCCTTATACAGTCGTATGCCATCATCTCGCCTTTTGTGCTATCGATTTTTTGGCCAATTTTAAGACATTTGTTGCCACATTCAATAGCATCATCATAACGAGCTAAGAATGAAAATGCATTTCCCATTTCATAATGCCCATACATTTCGTTTTCTTTATCGTCTATAGTTTGAGCAATTTCGATCCATTTCTTGGCGTAAAAGACAACGTTGTCAAACTCTTTGAGCTCCCCATATGTGAAGGACAAATATTTATGAACTATCAACTCAGAACTTGGTATTGTTACAGCTAACGGTAATATTTCCTTCAGACACCTCAGTGAATCAGCATGTCTACCTATGCTGTTGCTATGCAATACAAACTGCACGCATGAATTCATCATGGTACTTATATCATTACAGTGTTTAGCCATCTCTATGCATTCTTTGTACAGACAAATCAGCTGTTCAGTTGACAGTCCAAGTTCCTCTGGCAACATGTAGGCCGATGCAAAGCAAAACCTTACAAAAGTAGTCTTCTTGAACATATTCATCTTCAGCTTTACTTGTTATTCAACATTCATCTAACATCAAACAGAATGATAAATTGATAATATAAACAAGCAAACAAAAGAATGCATGAAGAAGAAAAATGTTTAAATTGAAATACAAGAAAAACATTTTGTCGAATACATAAATAATAAGTTACGAATTATGTAAAATATAACAATATTGCCTATCTTCTTGTTGGGCCATTTGTCGAAAGTCAAACACTTTAGGACTCATGAGACTTTCATGTGTTACCAAGGTCTATTAGTGAGTGTTCTATTTGGTCAATGCTAATACTTAAGATCTTGAATCACCAAAAAACGTTTTCATTGAATTTTCAGCTTTTGAAGGGGTATAGCGGATAATCTTAACGTGGAGCAAAAACACACCCAACCTCTAAATTCTGAATTTTGAGTGATTTTTTTATTTTTGAAAAATCAGGGACTACGCATTGGTGGAATGAACTGGACTTTGGCTAACTGGATTGTGCGGATCAAAAAACATTTTTGATCTGTTACTTATAAAATAATTGGGATACTACGCACGCTATGATTGGTCAAAAACCATGTTTGATCACAGGGAACCCGGCTATATTCTTTTTGCTTTTTTAGAAAAGTAACTTTGCTCTTTGTGGGTTTCCTGTGTTGTGATCGGTTTCCTTTTACATATACCTGCGCTGTGATCAGATCGGCGCTGTAAACTGATAGCCGATTAAATTTAAATCAATAACCGTTGGTGTTTTGTTTCTTTTGGGTTGCCTGTGGTGTGTAACGCACTTTCTAGTATAAGCAGTCAAAAGAAGAGAGTGCGTTACCAACGGTTATTAATTTGAATTTAATCGTCTATCAGTTTACAGCGCCGATCTGATCACAGCACAGATCTGATTACATCTTATGTAATAGGAAACCGATCACAACACAGGAAACCCACAAAGAGCAAAGTTACTTTTCTAAAAGAAGCAAAAAAATATAGCCGGGTTCCCTGTGGTTTGATGAGAGTATCAAAACACACTATCGACATTTTAGCCCACGCGAGTATTGCAACTGTCAGATTTTAATCTATCGCGCGCGCTCATTGGTCAGTTTGAAAACGACGGCACGTAGGGAGACTTTACTTAGGCTTTGGGTTTCTTCCATCTTTTCACGCGTTTGTTATTTTATAAAACAAATTGTAATCCACGATTACATGGGATAGATAGTCGAGAATAAAGATTATAAGACCAGCACGGTTCGAACGCACGATAGATGTATTTTAACCATAGTTGAATAGGTTGTGTAATAGCGCAGCGCAGCCGTGACGTCATAAAAACGAAGACAAAGGCGAAATTCGGACAAACAAACTTACAAGTTTACTTTCAGCAGATAATTTTCACAGCCGATCGCAGTTGATTTTAGTTTACATGGGTTATTATTGTAACTTTAAGTAAAAATAATAAAATCGGTTCGTATAATCCTCGTAGCGGTTAAAGAGAATGCAATGTTTGTCCGAATCTTTAAGCTATTTTTAGAATCAGTGCGCTGCGCTATTGTAGCGTGGTTCGAACTAGAATAGGTACAGAAAATCCTAGGTTACAATATAATTTGTTAATATAGTCTAAATTACAATATGTGGCGTTACAACGCTACTATCGGACGTCAAGATTACAAACACGAATAAATGATCTAAAATTATTACACGATAGTGACGAATAATCGATAGAAATTTCACTTGAATATTAACTAACTATTATCAATTAAGGTCACTTACTTTGGTGTGCCTTGGTAGCTTTTCTAAGTAGAAGCTATCGATTTGTTGCGAAGAAAAATAGAGCAGAGTTCTAGATAGCGTAGATGTAAATCCTTCAATGCTGATAGCACGTGTGCAAATAGAGTATTGAATTACATTACGTGGCAGTTCTTTCACGAATTAATAATTAACCGTAAGTAAACAAAAAGAAAAAAAAAAGAAAAGAAAAAGAAAAAGAAAAAGAATAATTAAATCATTGTGAATAACACAAATTTAAAACAGTTTTCCGTGTTTGATACTCTGATCAAAACGTTTGGGATGTTGGGAGAACAATCGAGAAGCTGGAAACCACTCCGCGTCTGTTAAGTTTTTATGTTTAAAATTCATAACTAACAATTTTCCCTTTAGATTGGAACATGATAAATTACTTTTATCTGCCCATATCAGATCTCGCTGTCAAAGTTTTTTGAAATAGGTGTATATGTTTTTTTCCGGAAGGTCGGAATGGGGAAACTGTGCCCGATTATTTTCTAACAACATCGATGTGGCATTCCATTCGAGTTCGCGCGAAATCTTCTAT